CATTATAGTCCATTAGATGTTAGAGCATCATTACTTTACAAGGTCAGTTGATGGCTTACTCCAAGGAGCAGTATTTGTCAAGAGGAACCAATACTCACATCCGGGTCTTGGTCTTCATATCTGCTCACTAGGTACAAAAGACAAATCTTAGTCCCCTGTTCAGCATGAGCACGCACCATTTGGTTCACGTCATCTTCTCCGACTATCTTTACAAGGTCAGTTGATGGCTTACTCCAAGGAGCAGGATTGAGGTAGTATACCTCTGAGTCGAATATGTGCCCATTATAGGTCAAAGCCCTCATGAATTTGTGGAACTTAACAGATCTGCCTTTAATTGCAAAGCCTCTCAAATCTGCTCGAATGTCGTACTTCTCTAGATCAGAATAAAGCTCCTCCAATTTGAAAACCTTAAATCTCATAGCCAAATACTGCATGTAGGGATTACACGAATAAGAATCATTTGAGCACAACGAGTTCTTACACAAAAAAATGTACGAAAATTATATATACCGGTGCACAGTAGTTGTCCACTGCCATGTCGAAGTACCAACGTGGCATACAAATCATATCATCTGGTACCTTAAAGTCCTAACAATAGAGGGTTTAAGATCACTGTCTATATAGTAAAAATTTTAAATTAAAAGAGTACCATGGTTACCTCGACATTCAAGTTGTTAGTCAGACCCTTCAACTTTGAGCAGTCATTCTGCAACCCTTCCAATTGTGACCTTGCCTGATTACTCAATGAATCAATTGTTTGTTGTTGTGTCTTCATGTTCTCATCATATTCTTAACGGGTCTTTTGTAAGACTTCATCTGCAATAGCATGTTCTTTTGATATCATGTGGGCAAAGAGATCATGCTGATCATTTAGCGCTTTCTTCAGCTGGGCAACCTATTCTTTTTCAATTCTTTTGGCAAAGGCAGCAAGCCCTTCCTCTTCCGCTTTGTCCAGCTGGTCATGATCAAATGATATGTCCGTGTTAGTTTGATGTTGCTGTTTCATCTTCTTGATGTCAGCTTTGGTACGGTCAAGCTTGATCTTCAAATACTCATTGTTGTGGACCTTCTTAAGTTTGGTAGCCTTCTCCTCGAACTCTTGCAGGGACCTCCGAACTTGTTCCATGACACCTACGAATTTATAAAGTAACAACCAGTCAAAATGCCGTAAGTTGGAGAATAAAATATAATTAGAATCTTACAATTTCAAATATCCAAGCAATCTTTGCACTTGCACATTTACAATGCAGTAAGTTCTGAGCAACCGGTCAATCAAATCATTTTCACATGAAAAACACAGCACTCAAGAATGCAATTCATAAAATTATCCCATATATGAGAGGTAGTAAAGGAGACAGTAGTCTAGTTGGACTATATCTGCCCTTCCTTGACACACTACATACTACAGGTATAGGTGAAGTTCTTACTGTTAACTCTACAAGCAGTCAACGACAATGAGAAAAAGAATGTTGGCAATCAAAAGCCTATGTAAATTCCCGTTTAACTCTCATACTGTACTGCCGGACAACCTTAACTGTCACCACCATATCCTTTCAGCAGCTTTCTCCTTATAGTCCAACTATTTTTTTTCTGCAACCTGCTACTTCTAACAGTTTTGGCTATAGCCACAGATCATTGAAGATATTTATCAGTATTGTATTCGGTGCAAACTTGAAACATGAAAGCACACCATATATGATTTAATTCTCAAAGTTTATCTTTTCGCTTTTCCTGCATGTCCTAAGAAGTAGAACAGTGACATGCTGATTAATAGATCAATTGCAGTGTGTAGCATATACAGCTAAAAGCAGCTGTTCATAAGTGTCTCTACCATATAGGGATCATCAATTAGCAAGCAACATTTTCACTAAGACTGAACTGAAGGAGATGAGCTGACCTGAAAACTGTTGTGGCAGTGCCTAAGGTTTTTACGGAACAAGGTAGTGGGCAACAAAAATATATATGATGAACTAATAATAGTTTAATTACCAAATTAATTCCTGAGATGTGTAACATGTTTGCCCATTAGTAGCTTGTTTGAATTTTGAACAAAATCAAATGTTTCTGGAAATTTCAACAAAATATTTCATGGATTGTTCAACAGACATTAGGAAGCAAAAAAGGTACCCAAAAAACCACATCAAAGGACAAATGATGCTTGAGGGATCAAGTAATCATAAGGAAGCTTGCTAGTGAGCCCAGACTCACAATTGCTCTACTGTTCTGCACAAGCTAGCCTACCTATTAGCTAACCTGGACATCAGCACATGTTCTAAAACAACAACCTTATGTTTGTATGCATTTAGGAACTAGGAACCAGCCAAGGTGTGATAGAAACAAGCTCCACCATAGAGATATTATAAACATTTCAGCTTTAGGCAAACTTTATACAACACCTGCAAACCAAATTGAAGAGAGAAACCAATCTTGCAATAGTACAATATACTATGCAAACATTTATTAAACAATCCAATCAACTATTGGCTTCAATTGCTTAAATGCTTAATGCCTGTACTATACGGATTGGATTGCAAGGTCTAAAGAAAATTGAAGTTGTCAGTTGAGATCAAACAAACACGGCCAAGCCATACGTGGCCTAGGTAGCCGACGTTGGGCGTGGTCGTGATCGATCGAGCTGTGCAAAAAAATTCAAATAAATTCATTTATAGCTGCAGCGGATCTTCTACGGGAGATCCATTTGATATGTGAATTTAGCAAAATAAGGAACAACTAAATGGGACTGCTGGACAATTGGACATATTGATTGAATAAACCACAGGATCAAAATCGCTATGAACACAAGTAAGTGAGTGGACATGTAACACAATGTTCTGGACAATCCCATTACATGAAATTGAAAGAATGTCAATCAACAGATTGCTCACCTCGCAATGAAGGTCGTGGAAGGGTTCTCGTGGCCGGCGATGCGGTGAAGGTGGAGATCAGCGGCGGCGGCGGCGGGTCGACCTCCTGCCAGCGGCTATGGCGGCGCGGAGCTCTGAGCCTACTCTTTATAAGGGGCGGGCGCGGGGAACCTCGGGGGGCACGTTCGAGGGGATCGGGCGGCGGTGGCTATGCCCGGTTGATGCGGCGCGGCGGGGCACGTTCGAAGGAGGGGAGGGGTAGTGGGCTTTGGCCCAGAGGCAAAATAGAGGGGAGTAAGGGAGAACCGCTCTGTGTCCGTCTCCAGGGAAGGAGGCGACACTGTGCGTAGACCCGCTGACACGCGGGCCCCGCAGGTCAGCGGCAGGGGCGCGGGCACAGGGTGCTGGCCCTGTTATTGCTGATGGGCTGCTGCCTGTTGGGCTTCGGCCCAAGCGAGGGAAAGGGCTTCTGACGAATCAGGTTTTGAAATATTCCTAACATTTCTGAGTTTTGAAATACAGCTTTGAACTTGATTTTGAAATAAACTATTAAAAACTCTATTTATTTTATAAATACATCAAAAATTTGATTCAAAGTTACGTCGAATTTTATAAATTCAATTTTCACAACAATAAAAATTTATGCAAAGGCATGAATGCAACATCCCTCAATTTAAAATTTAAAATTTATTTAAAGTTCCCATTTTGCACATTTTGAAATACTAAACTTCTAACTAAATATTGGAAAATTTTAGTAAATTCATAAGATCAATTATTTTTTCAATAAAAACTATTCACAACCCAAAATAGAAATTCGACGTCCTACGGTCAACGCGGCTTTGATAGGGTATGCTAAACTAGTGGACTCCTTGTCCTTAAACAAAATTTGACTGTACTTTTTGAAAAGCAAAAGTTAGCTTGCACGTACTGAGTGAGTGGAGTAAAAGGCCTAACGTGAAAGAAAGTGAATCGATCACTCTCATGTCTCGCCAGAGTGAACCACTAGCCATAATATGCTACGAAACTAAGCCGCCACTGTTATGTGTTGTCCAAGTGGACTAACAGGCTAATAACACATTAACAAAGTCAACCGACCACTCTCATGTATCGTCTGAGTAGGTAGACTAGTACTCGTAGCACGACAGCTACTCAACCTAACATGATAGAAACTAAGCCGTCCTTCTTATGTGTAGTTCGAGTGGACTAATAGGCTAACATGATAAGAAATCCATCAGATCACTCTCATGTCTTGTCTGAGTGTAGTCGTAGTCCTACCACGACAGTAACTCAACCTACACTCTCGTGCCTCATCTGATCGGTGGACTGATAGGCCTAACACGAACGAAAGTGAATCGATCACTCCGACATGTACTAATAGGCCTAACATGATACAAAGTGAACCGATGGTTCTCATGTCTTGTCTGAGTGGAGTAATAATCGTAAACCATGGTAATAAATTAAGTTTAACCGAGCACTCTAACCACATGTTACCAAGTGAACCGTATGAGTGCGTATGTCACGTGTTAGTAAAAAACATGTACCCTATTTTGGGTTGTGAATAACTAAACAAAATAAAGTATTTAATAATTTTCCTAAAATTATCTATTTTTTTTGAGATTGGTTTGCAAAAAAAAAAAATTTAAAATCAATGGTTTGCCACAAAAAAAATTGGTGCCATGGGCCAGCCACAGCTAGGCCAGGTTCAATCACAAATAGGGCCCTACACGCCGACGATCGGGCTTGAGCCATCAAGCAGCATGCCTGCACTCGCCACTCCCCGGCGACCGAGCTCGCGGTTGCGCACAACCACCCGAGTTAGCACGCCTGCGCACGCCGCTCGCCGGTGACCGAGCTCGCTGTCACGCACGCCGAGCCAGCCGAGTAGCCCGCCTGTGTTCACCGCTCACCGGTGACCGAGCTCTCTGTCGCGCGCCAAGCCAGGGAGCCACCCGGGTCGGCACGCCTGCACTCAGCGTCGCACGCGCCGAGCCCCCCGAGCATGTCATAGGCGCACGGCATGAACGTCCTGCTAGTTTCCGTTCGGCACATGTGCATACGCACAACGCTTGCCTGTTAGGCTGCACGTGCACGAACATGGCGTGTATACGCCAGGTCCAGGTGCATTGTATTAGTATTCTACACCATGAGCCCGAAGCCGATGTCGCCGTGCAGCGGAGGCAGCTCGTCGCAGCTGGCGGCGCTGGAGGTGCGCGTGGCCGTCCCGCCGGACCAGCGCGACGGGCCAGGAGGGCCCTTGGCCAGCGAGACGGTGGCGGCCTTCTCGAGCTGGTCTCGTTGACCCACGCTAGAAGACGCCGAAGCCATGGAGGCTGCTGCGTTCGGCAGCGAAGCTTCCTGGGCTCTACATGTCACTGAGATGGAGGTCTACAGGTAGGTCTTGGGTAGTTGAAAACGTATAAAATGGTATTTCTCATTTTCCACATAAATTATAATAACATGTTTATAATATCATGAATAATAATAGTATTTTTTGAAACTCACATAATTATAATGGCACCGTTTAAATTAACGCAAACACCAAACGCAGACGCGGGGTGAACTCCTGGAAATGGTCTACGTCGCAGGATCTAGGTTCTAGGGGCCACACGAGACGGAGCAATCGAACCACGATCGAGCTCGACGCTCGGGTGTAGGCAGCCGCAGCCTGCAGGCCCCAGTCCGGCTCGTCACGTGAAACAGCAAAACTTTGCCCAGCGGCGAAGCGGAGATCGGAGGAGAAGGAACCCCACCCTTCCCATTGAGATCTTCTCCTCGCAGCCTCAATCTCTCCTCCCTCGGCGCGGAGGACGAGCAGCGTTGTAGAGTTGTAGATTTGATCATGTGTGCTCCCGAGATGGCGGCCGGGTTGGACTAAGTCAAAGCGAAAGCGAGAGCTGCTGCCCCGCCGTCACTCGATGGCCAGGCGGACGGGCGGGTGCGCCAGCAGCTTCCTGCTGCCGTTGCTGCTCCTGGCAGGTGCGCCTACTCCAACCCTGCCGGACCCGAAAGGTCGCAAAATACCTTGCATCGACTAGGGCGGGGTGTTGCCGTGGTCCTTGCGTCGATTTTAGCTGGCTAGAAGGAATTCTGCCCTCATAGTGTTGAGAATGTTTTCTGTCGTTGCGTAGCGTGCTCGAGGGCTCGGGGCGCTAATTCCTGACTCTGATAGAGTGATAGGGGACGATTAATAGGTTACAAGGTAAAATTTATAATAGGACTTTAAAGCCATCGGCAGCACGCTGATGTTCATACAAAGGTAAAAAAAAACTCGGTACCTATTGGAGAGAACAGAATCCCTTCTGTTTTAGCACCATCAATTTCTTGGTGATACTTTTAGTAGGCAATCTATCAATGTTTTGCACTCATGTTCTAAAATATTTCACATGCGTACATTAAGACTGACGTCTATCGTTTGCGAATGTTTTCTGTCGTGGCGTGGTGTGCTCGAGGGTTTGGGGTGCTCAATTACCAGCTAATTCCTGATGCTGATAGAGTGATAGGACACAATTAATAGGTTACAAGGTAAAATTTATACTAGGACTAGAAAGCCATTGGCAACATGCTGATGTTCATACAAAGGTCAAAAACTCGGTACCTATCGGACAGAACAGAAGGATCTGTTGGTATGGCATGCTAAACCAACATGACATATACCTTGTACCCAGTGGTGGAGAATGGGGATTAATTAAGGGACGGAGGGGGGAGGGGGGCGCTAGATTGTTCAACAAAATCAATGTATGATTTTTTTTTCAAGAAGCTGTTGTTGCAAATGTCTTGTATTTGCACACAACATACCAACAAAACAACCTATTCTTGAGCTTTGTACAAAGAATACTACTAGGTTCTCAAAGTAATATAAGCTATCTTGTGGAACAATAGAGAACATGACAGTAGACCAAAAAAAGGGGGGGGGGTGTTGGCTCTGCCAGTGCTTCTACCTGTGGCAGGACATCTAACATTACTTTGTTGAACCACAATCACAATTTGATGTATCCTAGATCACCAGTTATGTAAACCCAGAAAATTAGTACCTGTTGATACATGACTCTACTATTGAGATGTAATCATGGTTGTGACATGGATGATCCAATTTACTTCATTGACCTCTATGAATTAGTTTCTATCATCCTTTACTCTCTTGTGTTATAGTTTGTCTGTTGATCAATTGAATCTGCATGCATGAGTGCGCAAATGGTGGATCAACCTGTCTGGAAGCTCCATACGAGGACATGTGTGTAGCCTTTAATGATATATAGAACACCTTGTACAGGGCAGCTACCTTGTGTTCACTTCTTATTGTGCATATGTGTTATGCACTTATGCTTATGCCTGAAGCATGTTTCAGCAAAGAGAATATGTAGCTTTAAAGGTTACAGGCTCTGAAGAATGTGGTGCCTGATGGTAAGAAAAGGGGACATGGTATAAAGTGGTTAGTATTGTTTAAAGGTTACAGGCTCTGAAGAATGTGGTACCTGATGTAAGAAAAGGGGACATGGTAGAAAGTGGTTAGTATGTCTAGAATACATGTCTGTTTACACCTGGCCTGTGCTTTGCACTAGAGACTGGAACCTACTACAGACAGAAAGCTGCCCTTTAAAGTGGATTCGAAATAGAAGTACTTTGGGCATTTCTTGTGGACTATCTAGGTTGTAACAATTTCTGTCTGGTGGACTGGGTACTCTGTAGACCTGGTAGGTGAATCTCTGGGCTCCAGTCTCTAGACAATAATGTAGAATCTGGCAAAGGTGGTCTGTCCTGCTGAAAGGTAACGACTAATGAGACTATTTGGTCAGCTGACTCTCGTGGCCTAAAAGCTCAGCATGGAATCAGTAATTGTGAAGATGATGGCTGATTGGTAGTGATACTACCCCTTTGTTCTTGTGATGTTCACCAGAAGCATTGAAGCTCTGGTTTTACTTTATACATGACTACCTTCCTGATGATTATTCAGTTGGATTGATGTCATTTGTCTTTGTCTGTTTGTTTCCCCTATTTAGCATTGTAGCATAACAATTGCAAGCTTGTCCATAATGGTTCCTTTTGATCTGAATCATCTGTGTTTTTGCAGCTTCTTTACTTGATTGGTGCTTGGTTTCTCTTATTAATATGATCATCTTCTTTGCTATTCGATTTGCTGTTCCAAGAAGAGGTATGCCTGTGATGACTAAGACTTTTATTGTGCATGCCTCAAGTTTCAACTATATTCATTGATAAAGCTAGACTGCAGTTTTTGTTGGGTTGTATACTGAACAAATAAGTTCATGTTGCTAAACTGAAAGTCGTGACATTTTGTATATATATTTCCACCAAGGATAAAGCTAGACTTTCCCTTAAAATCGTGACATTTTGTATATATATTTCCACCAAGGACTTACCACCATCGACAACCAATCTAGAGCCTTTTTGTAGATTAAGCCATGATTCATGAACCAATGCCATTAAATTTATTGTTTCAGCAAACTCTAGCACATGCTTAATTGTGTCATATATAGCCCTCAAAGCAAATCACGTGGTGGTCAATGCATGTTATTGTCATGTATCAAATCAAAACTGTGTTCTGTTCCAAACACATGGTGAGAGGTGCTTATGCTTGACAACATCAGGTGGCGGAAATTTTAAAAACAAATGATTTCTGGGTATACAGCTTCTTGATGGTATCGTCTCAGGAGGAGGCATCTTTTGTAGTAGCAACTAGTAAGTAATATTGTGGATAAGGATTAATATTGTGGTTGATTGGTGATTCTGTAATGCCAATTTAGAAGCCTTATAGGTCTCGACAGAGAAGTAGAGAGCATAATTGCAGAAAAAAGAAGAAGAAGAAGAACAACAACAAAGCTTTTAAGTCACAAACAAATTGGGGTAGGCTAGAGTTGAAACCCAGCAGAAGCAATCAAGGTTCAGACATGTGAATATCTGTTTTCCAAGCACTCCTATCTAAGGCTAAGTCTTTGGGTATATTCCATCCTTTCAAGTCTCCTTTTATTGCCTTTACCCAAGTCAACTTCGGTCTTCCTCTGCCTCTCTTCACGTTACTATCCTGGCTTAGAATTCCACTACGCACCGGTACCTCTGAAGATCTCCGTTGGACATGTCCCAACCATCTCAACCGTTGTTGGACAAGCTTTTCTTCAATTGGTGCTACCACTAATCTATCACGTATATCATCGTTCCGAACTTGATCCCTTCTTGTATGACCGCAAATCCAACGCAACTTACGTATTTCCACGACACTTATCTGTTGAACATGTCGTCTTTTCGTAGGCCAACATTCTGCATCATACAACATAGCAGGTCTAATCGTCGTCTTATAAAACTTATCTTTTAGCTTCTGTGGTACCCTTTTGTCACATAGGACACCAGATGCTTGGCGCCACTTCATCCACCCTGCTTTGATTCTATGGCTAACATCTTCATCAATATTCCCGTCTCTCTGTAGCATTGATCCTAAATATCGAAATGTATCCTTCCTAGGTACTACTTGGCCTTCGAAACTAATATCTTCCTCCTCCCGAGTAGTAGTGTCGAAGTCACATCTCATATACTCAGTTTTAGTTCTACTGAGTCTAAAACCTTTGGACTCCAAAGTCTCCCGTCGTAACTCCAGTCTCTGATTCACTCCTGTCCGGCTTTCATCAACTAGCACTACATCGTCCGCGAAAAGCATATACCAAGGGATGTCCCTTGTATGTCCCTTTTGATCTCATCCATTACTAAGGCAAACAGATAAGGGCTCAAAGCTGACCCTTGATGTAATCCTATCATAATCGGGAAGTCATTCGTGTTTCCATCACTTGTTCGAATACTAGTCACAATATTATTGTACATGTCCTTAATGAGCCCGACGTACTTCATTGGGACTTTATGTTTGTCCAAATCCCACCACATAACATTCCTTGATATTTTATCATAAGCCTTCTCCAAGTCAATAAAAACCATGTGTTGGTCCTTCTTTTCCCTATACCGCTTCATAACTTGTTTTATTAAGAAAATGGCTTCCATGGTTGACCTTCCGGGCATGAAACCAAATTGGTTCATAGAGACCCGCGTTATTGCTCTCAAGCGATGCTCGATAACTCTTTTCCATAGCTTCATAGTATGGCTCATCAACTTAATTCCCCGGTATTTAGTACAACTTTGAATATCCTCTTTATTCTTGTAAATCGGTACTAATATACTTCTCCTCAACTCGTCAGCTATCTTGTTCGATCGAAAAATATGGTTGAACAGCTTGGTTAGCCATACTATAGCTATGTCCTCGAGGCATCTCCACACCTCGATTAGGATACCATCTGGTCCCATCGCCTTACCTTCTTTCATCCTTTTCA